ATTTGTTGACAAAGTGATAATGAATCATGATATGATATTATATACGGGGTGTTCCATTTGAAAAACCAAAGAAGCCGCTACTTTATAGTAGAAGCGACAACGCTGCTTCGTCTAAAATATTTTAGACGTGTAGGTCATATTGATTTATGCATACTGTGGAATTTTCAGGTTGATCCGTTGAATAGTTTGCCAGAAACGGCTAATTAACGCTCATCATGAAAAGCCCTGTATACTCCCAAAGGCAATATTTATCAAGAAAAATGAGAAATAAAACTTTCTATGTTTTTACCACTTGTATTTGTAACTAACGTTACGGCAGTTTCTTCCTATGAAGGCATTTTCAAACTAATACAATAAACTGAAATTAATTGATAATGTTAGCCTTTATATATCTGAACACCACTGTAGGTAATAACAGAGGTACTTAACTTAATTGAGTACCTGAATTTTGATAGTTCGTACTAGAACCTCTGACGTAAAATGAATCTATTGAAAACACTTTCCCAACATCACAACAAAAATGACGGTCTCTCGACGCGTTTTGCTAACTAAGTTGAGTACGCTTACTTGGTATGGATATCATTATGATTGATCATTTCTTGGACTATTCTAAGGATATTTTATCCTTTGATGAGTTTTGATAAGGCGCTTTATTTACAAGATACGGGGGGGAAAAGGAATTTCGACAATAACAATTTTGCTAATTTTTAAATTATTATATATGATGGAAATGGCCGATCATTGATGAAAATCCATAACTAACGTATTTAAAGAACACTTTTTTGTGAGATTTTTACTAAACGATTTTACAAATTCAATAATTTGCCTTGACTTAACCATTACGAAAAATAACAATAATAAACATGAATTTGCAATTTTCCATAAACCATCGTACACGGACATTATCATACATAACTCCTCCACATAACGTCAGTTATAGGACATTGTGACAAAACCAATAATATTGCCCGTTTTTTGAAGAAAGAATGCGTAAACGTAGCTTACAAAACGAATAATAGTCTGAATAAATTTATTAAAAACAATACTTCGGTGTCGGTGTCCCAAAGAAGTAGAGCATAGAAGTTGCTTGGTAAATAGAAAGACCAATTCCACATTTGCAAACCACCTTTTAGCAAAAGGATATGAATTCAATCTTGAATACGATATGTTACATTTAGAAGAGTTTGAAACTCGATCTTCTAGAATGTTTAGAAATCAATTAGAGTCAGGAATTCGAGTAATTTACTGAATGATCAATTAGAATTGAATAACTCTTAGTTACTAAATATTTTTTCAAATGTGGAAACTGGGAAATAAGCACAAGTAATTTTATTCATTACAAACTTAGGTAAAAATCAGATAGGTACTTGAAATGAAGATACTTTTTCATGTTTTCAATTAAATTTATGACTGATAATTAAACGCCCCATAGTTTGCGAATGCATTACAGTACAAGGAAGTATAAAAATCACTTTCGTTATGTCCCAAACCTGATATATTTTTGGCACATTTTCAACACAGCTATTGGAGTGACTATGTGCCATATCGTTTTTCAATGTATATTCAATAGAAAAACACCACTGGCATGTTTTCACCTTTATCTTTTCACTAAATAAATATAGGGCATATGAAAAAAAAATATACATAGTTCTGTACAAAAAACATATATTCTATGAAGAATGTGTATATAAATAGAAAAGAAATGTATCTCTTAAGAGTGACACAAATAAAAACCAAACTAATAACATCAAACACAAAATAAATTAAATTTTAATGAGAAAAATATTTGTTACGGTAATTCAGGAACTTTGAAGATTTCTCTCTTAGATATTGACATGGCTTGTCAATTTTTCGTTTGATGTCATCATAGCAATACCAAATCGCATCTGGTTTTCTGGGCCACTTCCAATTCCCGCCACACTTTTCCACTGCTGAAATAAAAAATGTATGCTTAGCCACTTCTTTTACTTGTCCTGGACACAGTTGATTTTCGTACATATGTACATATTCACCAGCACTAACTTCGTTTTTCTGCACATTTGTGTCAGGAATTTCAATGGCTACCATGTCTGTATCAGATCGCTCGCTCGGTTGAGGTGGATAGGGTCTTTAATCGCTTTCTGCATCAGAAACATGTCCTGTACTATCATCAGATTCGTGGTCAAGTCTTGTAACCCTTTGAGGACGATTAGGTTGCTTATGAGTTTGTCCTGATGAAGTTGAAGGTTGATTCAAGCTCACTGGTAAGTTATGAATATCTTGCGGGTTGATGTCGGAAGCTGTGATACTTTTTCCTGGAGGAACATTAACTCTCCTTCTTTTGTTCTTGGTCCTTGTAGACGTGATAGTCTTATTCAATAAATATTTCACCAATCTGCAAGTAAGGCTTCAACAGTATACAAGGACAGTCTTTGTAATCCTTCGTGCGGATTTGCAGGAAAAATACCACAGTTACGGAAGTCAGCTGTAAGATTTTGGGCACAATTTTCCTGTAAAATATCCAAGAGTTTTTTTAACAGTCGTGGAAATTCATCTAGGGAACTGTCATGCAGCGACTATTGCGAATATGTTCTTTCTATTCATTTAAAATATTTCTTCAGGCAATTTTAACAGGTCTAGAAAATGCTATATCTAGAGGTTGTAACAGGTAGCGTTTGGGGGCAAAGAAATAAATGATATGTCATTTTCATGGCAGAGATCTATAACTTTTGCATACATATGAGAACTTGAGTTGTCACCGAGAAGAACTTTTTCTCCTTCTTGTTTTTTCAAAATTGGGAGCATGAGGCTCACAAACCAGTCTTCAATGCATTGAAAGTCAAACCAACATAACTTTGTGCGGTTGTAGCGGCATTTCTCTGGGCCTTTTTCGGTCCAACTTTCCCACGTGTGCTCTGCTTTATAAACATCGTAGACTAGTGCCAATTTACCACCTGCACTACCACACATCATTATTGACGTATTTTGATTTTAACGAATTCTTTATATTGGTAAATTTTCGTTTTCAGGACACCCGGCTATTTTGAAAAATTTTTGCGTGTACTTACGTATTTTGATGCGTAGATTACGAATCCGAAAGAAAAAAGCGGCGCTCTCCCTTATTTACAAAGTTACGGCCCTTCAAAGTTCTGAAAAGGGCAACTTTTCGGCCTTCTTTTTACAAAAAAAACTATTTAAAAACACAAGCATTCATTCACTAGGTCACCTTTGCACTTTATTCCTCCTTCTTTGACACTTTTCACTTCAATAATCAACATTTTTCCAATAAAAATGTTCAAAAATATACGGAGCTGCTTTTTGGTTACATATCTCTGTATTTTACGTTTTCAAGGTTAATGCCATGGTTGGTACGACTGATGCAGTCCATATTCCTAAAGTAATTCAAATGTTTTTTTACCTTCATTCTTTAGATCGTAAATTGGTTTTTGGTGGTGTATTACGAATTTGAAATAGTAGGCGGCGGCAAACACCAACCGCTTTTTTCTGAAATGTCACTAGTAACTAACCTAAAAGTAGAATAATGTCACCAGGAGAAGCATTCGTTTTTAAATTAGGTTTTTTATAAGAAATTTGAATTTTTGAATTTGTTGATTTTTTTTTCTGTGTTTGCTTGAAATAATGTTCTAACTTTCCATTACATTTATTTCAAACCCCTCATTTTCATTAGATGTTTTCAAGTTTTTTTTTATTCAAAAGCAAATCTTAAAATCATGCACAATTTTTATCGAAGTGTGGTATTAACATATGTAGAAATTAACGGTCCTAATATGGATCCCACAGTCACCCTCTGAGTTATTTCTGCGAAATCAGATCATTATCATATCATCATCCATAACCTCTTCTAAACAAATGTATTTGCCATCACTTCCACTTACAGAATGTTTGATAATCCAGTATAAAAGTTCATATTCAATGGTGTCTAAAGTATTTTTTTTTCTAACATAAAAAACGATACAAATTGAAACAATTTCTAATAGACTTTCAATTAACAG